TTGGTTGTGGTGGCTGCAGTTGTCTGTAGGCAATTTGGCCACCTGCAGCTGAGGAGTCTAATCACAGGAGAGATAGGCAACAGGTCTCTTCCAGGGTCCTAAGTACTGGGTTAAGATCCCTTTGGTGATCCCATGAATCTCGGCCATATGCAACTGGAAAGGTTTGGCTAAGTCAGGGAGAGTGAAGGCTGGAACATTCACAAGAGCCTGTTTTAAATCACTGAAAGCTTGTTCCTCTCAGTCCAAGTTTTAAGTCCCATATATCTTCTCAGTTGTTTAAGACTTTTTGGGCTATCTCCACTAACTCTGAGTGATTTACTTTTGAATCTTTCTAGCCTTTGAAGCTTTTTTCTAATATCTGGGGCCAACTGGGAGACAAATGTGATATTTAGGGCACGTCTATCTTCAGGTGCCTCCAGATCAATAAGTGTATAGGAGGCACCCCAAGAACACAGATGGAGCCTTGTCAGGTTCCTAACTTACCTCTGTTTAAATGGATTAGTGGCTTCCAAGTATCTACTTTTAAAGCACCCAAATGAGTCTGGCAAAACCACGGAAGAGCCTCCTTACCATGGATAGGGTAAGTGAGGGACCTGGAGGGGAAGCTCAGAAAAAAAGTGCTATAGCCAGCCACGCTTGTGTCAATCAGGGAAGCCATGCTGTTGCCCATGCTCTTGGCCCTGGAGAGCTGGAAATCACCGTTGCCCTACCACACGGCATGGACTCTGGCTCCTCTCAGGTCACCGCTGTCTGGTCGCTTGTGCTGCTGGTGCTGCGCTGGGCAGGAAACATTTAAGGTGCCATGTATAGTGCCTCCCAGGAGTCCAACTGGAGGTCTAGAGCCCATGAGAAGGACTCACACCAGTCTCTTTTACAGATCTGTGCTGGGAAGGCCCAAAGGTCAGTGGTGGAAGCTAGAAAGTCCATGCCAGCGGGGTGAAGGAGCTGTGCTGGTGAACTGGGTGTTCTACACTGGAGCTGAGAAGTCACACTCACAACAAAGACCAGGGCTGACCTGAAAAGCACCATAGCCATCCTCAGCGACACAGAGGCCCTGAGCTCCTCCAACGATAGGAACAGTCAAGTACATGCCAGAAAGCCAGAGTGACAAGTTTATCCTGGAGATTAAATGGCACACGTCTTCCCTTCTGGAGCCAGGAAGCAACGCTAGACGCAAGGACCAGAGCTCCCCCAAAGCAAACCACAGCCACTTTCACCAACAAGGTCCTGAGCTCCTCTGATGACAGTGGTCAACTCACACTGGGGAAGCTAGTCATGACGAGCTCCTCCAAGAGAACCAACAGCTGAAACAGTAACACGCAGGAGAAGCCAAAATGCCTCAATGCCTCCCTTTTCCTTCTCCACATCTCTATTTATGCTGGCAACCTTCCTCAGCTGAAACATCTACCTTCAGCACCATGGTGATTTGATTCTGCTGGCGTTAAGTTTACCACAAGTTTTTAATCTATACATAAATATATATATACATACACACACACACACACACACACGCATACACAGTTGTACCTGAAAGAGGCTTTTGGTGCTATACTGGCAAGGGAGGAAATGGTATTCTTTAAGACATATCAAGTGGTCAGGTCATTTAGGGTTGGAGCTTACAAAGTCAAGTTAATTTTCTACAAGACATCACTCAGCTGCAATGTGACCTTGAAAAACAAAGGTAAAATAACCGTGATTCCATACAAAATAGAAGGTTGAGACAGGATAAGGATCCTCACAGGGACACAAGTCAAAGTTTCTCAGGTCTTAACCCGTGATCTCTCTTCCACTAAAGGCAGAGGCATCTTAGTTCCTGTCCTTCCTTCCAAACACTGTGTGTAGAATGTGCCTTTTTCTTCCTCTGCTCTTTAATTTCAAGAAGCAGGAGCACTGTAACAGCAGGGGGCGCCATGACGTCGCCAAGCGAAGGATAAAAAGGATATAGAAAGGAGGCCAAAAAAATTGTGATTTTTTAAACTGCACATTCAAGAAAAACTGTACATTCACGAAAAACTGTGAGGAGCCAGATATAGTGGCACACACCTGTGATCTTACTCGGGAGGCTGAAGCGGAGGATTGTCACCAGACTGAGGCCAGCCTGAGCCAGTCTGCACTACATAGTGAGACTCAGAAAACAAAAACAAAAACAAAAAAAGAAAGAAAACAGAAAGATATAAGAAAGGAAGGAAGGAAGACAAGAAAAGAGACAGAGAAATAAAAGAAAAAAGACAAGAGAAGAAATGGAACAAAGAGGTGACAGCAAGGGAGAGGGGGGAAGAGGAGGAAGTAAAAAGAATTAAGGATGCCAGCTCCCTCCAGCAGCTCGTGTTCTAACGTGAGAATTAAGAGGCTGCATGTCCTACCTCTCCATGGTGGGTGTAACCGTTATGTACCACAAAAATGTACAAGTAAAACTAAAAATTCTCAATTAGGAAAATAAAGCAACTTTTACAAAGCAAGAGAAAACAGAAACAAAGAGAAATTGTTCCTAAAGACAAAAAGTTACCCAAGGCTACAATGCTTTTTCCCTTCCAGGAAACTTACTGAAAACACCAAAAGCTTTTCTAAGAATCTTAAAGACACAGTGAGTCTGTAAATCGGAGCCTGTACTTTTCACCTGTACACTGAGCTTCCTCCCACAGACACTCCTCTTCAAAAGCGCAGCACTCTGAAGTGGCCAGTGTATTTCTAAACTTCTAAACATGCGAATGGTTTAGTCTGACCTGCCCCACCAAGTGTGCAGCCTGGCAGACAGCAGAAACGTACACCTAGTCCACCGTCTGGGGACACCTGAAGATCACAGCCCTCAGCCACAGACCGTGGTGCTTCTTTTTTTTTTTTTTTTTTTTTTTTGTCTTTTTCTTTTTTATCAGTACCAGGGATCGAACTCACGACTGCCTGCTTGCAAGGCAGGGTGGTGCTTCCATTTTGAGGGCCTGTACTCCATTCTTTCTGGATGTGTTCTGTTAAAATTCTGACTAATAAACCTTTTACATCTCTCACTACTGACATGTCTTAGAAATTCTTTGTCGGTGATAGAAGTCTGCAAACTCACAACCTACTCATAGGTGGGGTGAAGTGAGGTTCCCAGCTCCTCCTTGGGGGACCTTCTCATGTCCCACCAATGACATAAGGACAAGAAGAGGGCATAGCCATATCCTACAATAGGAGGCAATCCCCTGTCACACAAGAAAAATGTCATAAAACACTATATTTGTGATCCAATGAAAAATTACCATCTGATAGCCTACCCTAGTGATGCCTTTATTTTGGGGGATGATGGTACAGGAATTGCATTTTAAATATATTTTTTAGTTTTTCTTTTTAGTAAATAAATGATCAGTGAATAGTGCAACATCTTAAGGTGCCTTTAATATGTGCCCATGTTTATAGCAGCACAATTTCTTTTTTTTTTTTTTTTTTTTTTTTTTGGTCTCTTTTGTTTTTACCGGTACCAGGGATCAAACTCACGACTGCCTGCTTCCAAGGCGCTTATGCCGCTGAGCTAAATCCCCAGCCCCAGCAGCACAATTTCTAATAGCCAGATCTTGGAAATAATCTAAGTGTCCATCAGCTGAGGAATGGATAAAAAAGTTGTGGTATTTTTATACAATGGAGTACTATTCAGCTGTAAAGAATGATCACATTGAGATATTTATAAATAAATGCATGCAGCTTGAGACCATACTCATAAGTGAAATAAATCAAACTCACATGTATAAATACCAAATAGTTTCCCTAGTGTAAGAAATGGTAATAATACATAAAAGTATGTGGAAATCATGATTCCCATTATATTGCTTTGGAGCCTTATAATGTTTTCATTCATAAGTTGGAATGGTTTTATTCTGGGGTGTTTAATATTATTGTCTGTGATGGTATGAACAGCTAGTTTGAAGAAAACAAGACATTATAATAGCTAGTGCTGATTTAGTATCATCTTGTTTTGAAGTCCCACCAAGCTTTTGTTCTTCTGTCTCCATCGGTTTTATGATGTTGTATCTTATTGGATTTTATTATACGTAATAGTATAAACAAATTTTTTATGGACTAAGAGATAATATAGTAACCATTGTTCATTTTCTGTTAGTTGGTTCTGAATACCCTGTAATACTTTCATTCTCTTGGTTTTATACTGTCTTGTTATGTTTGATACGATAGTATATGAAGGTATACTCAAATATTTCAAGGAAAGAAACACTGTGGTAGCTACTGTTGTCGGGTTGTCTTGTGGTGAAACACTATGTTGCTTAAATTGTTCTGTTCTGACCTGCTTTGTTATGTCCTCTTTTATTTTAATCCTTTTTTAAATAAAAAAAAGGTGCCTTTAAAAGCTATATCCGTGTTTTCAATGGCCAGTCTGATTTGTCTGTCAGAATTGTGCCCCGTTCTGTTTTTCTTCCTTCACTACGAAGTTCCTTCTCATTTTTCCTAATTAAAGATTTTGCCTGTAAATCGATGCTATTACCTCAATTTTAATTTCTAACATCACTGAAGCAAGTTCCCATGTGCAGCCTGAGTCAAATTCAAATAAGGTTTATTTTCACAGTTGTCTTGGACTATCTCCAGCCTGGGGACTCCTTTGAAGGGAGCCAGTGGTGGTTATTTATGTTTTGGGGAGGCTGTGCTTTAGTCAGATAAGGGAAGTTGTGTAAGATTTCTCCCTGTATCTACTGTCATTCAAATGTTTTCAAGTTAGTCTTACATATAGACACACACACGTGCTCACATCCACACATTTCTCCCATTGCCAGCTATCAACACTATGTAGCCCTGCTTTTCTGTTTGTTTCCAAAGGGAAAAGAGATGGGTGTGAGTTTGGAGATGAACCACATCCTCCAGGGCAAATGAAGCAAAGGTTTCTTTGTTGTGGTCAGGGAAGAAGTGAGCACTGGTCTTTAAGCAGCAGGTATAAGGGTCTTAAGGTGTGTGTGTGTTTATCGACTAGCAAAAAATTAAAGAGAAAAAGAGTAAAAATAAATAATCCCATAGCACAGTCCTTTTAGATTCCTGTAGATCTGTCCTTTATTATAATGAACACATGAAACATCTTTCAGTCAGGGAGCATAAATGAGTGTTTGCAAACTAACAAATTTTTAGTACCTTGACTTATTGGGATTATTGAAATATTTGAAGAAAAAGGAAACTTTCTAATATTTCTCGATCTTAAAAGACACAAACATAACAATGCCAAGGAACAGAGAATTCTCATTTGGCAGCATGTTAGTCACAAATTTTTAATGGTTTCCCCAACAACTGACTTAGGGAAATAACAGAAGGAAGACATTTTCAAAGCACTCCACATGGTAGCACAAAAGATGCCCTCAATACATATCTAGTTGAACTGGAATTTGTCTTACCTTTTCCACTAACTTCATAGTCTCAGCAAATTCTTTAACTTCCAGCTTCTACATACAAAGGCATTATTAAAGAGCTCCTGGGGTATTAAAATAACTGAGATGAAAGCGCTTGAAATGTAGTAAAAATACATCATGACTAAATTACAGAGTATAAGATCTGAGCAAACGAAGCTGATCAGCATTATAAAAGCTTACTGTAGAAAAGCTCAGACTCATAGATTTATGTCTCCTTTTCTCTTGGATGCAATATCTGAAAGAGAATAACTTTTACAGAAGAAACAGAAAAAACGAGCAAAGGAGACAAGAGCCTGTGACTTTTCCAACGTGTCACTCATTGCCATCTAGGTGTAAATTGGAGGCTAGCCACTGGTGTAAACAATATGGGATGGTCTATGCATCAAAATGCACAGGCACCTCAGGGCTACCCTCACAGGCAATGACAACTTGCCTGGTCCTCGCCATAGCCCGATATCTGCAGTTAGGGGCCCTGGAATTTCCTGTCTCCCTGCAGTCTGTGACCTTCACAACACCTGTATGACAGTTCATCAAACCATTCTTGCACTCGACGTTGCTGGTGCTGCAGATACTGCGAATGTTCCAGATGTCTTCATGAATGAAACTGTTGAAGGGCTTGCACCTCGGACTAGTCATCCTCCGTCTCTGCATCATCAAGTTGCAGTAATAATCATTGCCACCTGTCACCTGGGGGTCCACGTGCTGCCGCAGGAACCGCTGGTACATGCGATCCTGGCCGTAGGAGGGCTGCACCAGCCCTAGCCCGATCAGGGTCAGCAGCAAGAGCAGAAGCAGTGAATGGGTCCTCTGTAGATCCATAACCACCGTAGAGGTGTCTAGAGGAAGCAAGGGCCAGAGAAAAGACATAAGAACTCAGCACTGGAGAGACATGCTGAGAAAGCAAGCCGGCATCTCCTGGATTCCAGTCTCCTCTTTCTCCCTTCTTTTCATGTGTAATTTCCCACCTTGCCCACCCTTGTCTTCCTAAGAGTGAGTATTTTGCCAACATGTACTTCTCTGAAAACAGAAGCCTTTCTTTTTTCTAGACAGCAGTTGGTGTAGTCAGTACAATAAGTCACAGCCAAATTGACTATGTTTGGCTGCCCAAGATTAGATGTTGATCACAATACATAAAAAGGGAAAAACAAATCTAAACAAATCTGGAGTTATTTCTAAGATAATTACTTAGTGTGATCTTTGACGAGTGTTTTGGTGCCTGGAGGCTCACATGTCAACAGTTTGGATAGACTCAAGTCAAAGAAAGCTTACGCACTGATTTTCATTTTATATCTAGGAATCAAGGGAGATGGAGAAATGAGCAGAGTAAAATTTCAGCCTAGCTTTCCCTCTCACATGACTGTTCTTTTAGTCGTAGGCATGTAAAATTGATTTTAAAAAATCTTATTAATCTTACAATTAAAAAAAAAACCCAGGTTATTAAAGACTGGCTCAGAATTGCCTCTCTACCAAGTTTCAGGGGTTGGAAGTGGGAGGGGGAGGTGGGCAACGTGACTACACTGATTAGCCAGATGCTGCCATCTGATGGTCACTGCTGGGATTAATAACTGCGATTTCACTTGAGTGATGCAGGGAGGCAAGGTTGATTGACTAGAATACACCCATTCCCTCATTCGATAAGTGAGCAACCTAAAGCAACAAAGACAATTTTTCAGAGTCAAATGAATCCATTTTTTATTTGTGCAGTCTAAGGGGCGCCCCCAGTGAAGTCCTTATTTGATATATATAGACATTGCTCTCTTTTCTTTCCAAAGATCCTGCTTCATGATGGCCAGTTCCACTGTCTGAGTGACTGATACAGATGCCTTATGAAACGCTGTCCTTCAAAAGCCTATCCTTTGATTAGTGATGCTGACCAACAGCAAACATAGTTATTCTTTTTAAGTGTCACTTCCTAAATCCATGGCCATCTTTTTGCCTTTGCACATAAAAACATGCTCCATGTCCAATTACCATGCCTAGTGTTACAGATATAAGACAATGCATTAGGAAGAGAGGAAGCAAAGAGGTGCGGGGAGGCAGGATGCTAGGGAAAGCCACTACTTGATTTACTCTTCTCTCCATGATTGGTGGACGCAGCTTCTGAAGGAAGAATTTGTTTCAGCTTCAGCAGAACAATGCACTTAGGTGGGTTTTCTCATGTTCCCTCTGGCCTTCCACTGCTTTTATTTACTTTCTCTCATCCTTCTTTTTTGTTACCAAGGATACAGTTTGGTCGAGTGGGAAACCTGACTGAACTCTGCTCCTGGGCTGCCCAGAGTAAAGAGCTCTTCTGCCATGTCCTCCCACGATGATGCTCTGCCTTCTCAGGTCCAGAATCAATAAGCCAAATATTCAAAATAATCACAGAATGAAACTGGTGGAACTGAGACAAAATAAGCTTTTCTTCTTTTTAAATTGATTATCTCACGTAATTGTCATGGGGGTTGAAAGCTAACTAAACACTGTGCGAATTCAGTGAAATTCTTTAAACTTGTCTTAGCATTTCCCCTCAAAAGTTAAAAGATCATAATAACATCTTTCTCTTACAATGCTATGAATGGTAAAAGATAAAATTAATGGAAAGTATTTCATAGAATGCTTAGCATTTAGGAAGTATCAGTATATGCTGACAATTATTATCTTTACCATTTCATTTTTCTTGTCTTCCTCTACTGTCTTCAATTGGGATCAAATAATGAATGACTAAAATGAGTGACAATAGAGATCTCTGACCCATCTTTATTTCATAGAATTTATTGGATATAATTGGAAGTCTGCTTTTAAATGATTCACTTGGACAAAATGACCTTCTGTAACTGTACGGTGGGATACACCTATAATCCCAGCACTTTGAGAAGCTGAGACAGGAAGATTGAAAATTCAAGCCCATTACAAAATATTTTGAAGCAAAAATAAAGAAAAGAAAATTCAAGCCCATAAAGTTTGAGTCTGGATAATTTAGTGATTTAGTGAGACCCTGTATCAAAATTTTAAGAGCTTAAAAGGGGTTCAGATACAACTTAGTATGAGGCCTGGATTTATTCCCCTGTACCACACACACACATACACACACACAGACTTGATTGTAACTTTTCTCATTGCTGACACAAAATATACAGCACAGCACAAGGAAGAAAGATTTATTTCAGCTCACAGTTTGTAAAGGTTTCAGTCGATAGCCCACTTGCTCCCGGGAAGGGTGACATAGCAGAGATGCACTGCAGAAGAGAAACAGTACACAGTATGGGAGGGCAGGCAAAAGGCGGCAAGCAGTAAGGAATAGCAGTAGCTGAAGCAACAAAAGCAGCTGCCTGCTTTCTGTCACTTTTTATTCCATCTGAGCTATCTGCCCTGTAGGTGGTGCCACCCACACCAGGACTGAGCAATCTTAATCCCAGCATCACACCCTAGACCCAGCTAGCTCCAAAAAGCCCCACCTATGAGTGCATGAGGCTTTGGGGGGATCTAGATACAAACCATAACATTCTGCTCCTGGACCCCCCAATGACTCACACAGTTACCTTTATGCAAAAGGCATTTAGTCCATTTCTAAGAGTTGCCAAAGTCCTAACAGTTTCAACATTGCTAAAAAGTCCAAGTTCAAAGTCTCCTTAGCTGTGAGTCCTGTACAAATGAAAGTTAAACATTTCCAACATACAATAGCCTAAGATAAACATTACTATTTCAAAAGGTACAAATAGGGGATAGCATGAAATGGGATCAAAAAAATCCAAAATTCAGCAGTGCAAACGTTAACTCCTTCCCAAATTCCATTTCTAGCATCCAGGGCAATCTGTGGCAAGACGTGAAATTTGAAGAGCTTGGATGGCTCTACCCCTACAACACTGCCACTGGCTGTAGCTCCCACAGTTTCTGTCTTGGGCCAGCTCTGTTCCCTCCTAGCAGTCCCCTCCTTTTCATCAGAAAATCCATGTTCCTGGCTTCTTCAACCTTCTAGGGTCTTTACTTTACCAACAGCCTCATACACTGACCTCTCAGGGGCACACTGCTTGTTCTGAAACCTGTGTGTTCTGAAACCTGTCTTCCTGACCCCACAACCCTTGCATTCTGCATGCACTTAGAACAAGCACCACATGGATGATGTTAAAGTATGCCACCAACCAAAGCAGTTGCCAGGCTTCCTTCCCTTTTACTGAATGTCTGGATTAGTTGATGCTATGAGCCCAATCCACAGGCACAAATTCCTTAGGCCACTGCCATTCTAGAACATGGTGCTCTGGGGCTCTCTTTTCAAAGCAAAAGAGAGCCCCAGAGCACCTTTTACCTTTGCAATTTTGAGCCTGAAAAGGGTGATGCCCTTCTGGTCCTTGTGATGTCCTCAGGCCATCTTTTCTATTGTCCTCTTTCTTCTCAGCAACCAAGTTCTCCTCTGCACTTTCTTTGCTACTGGAGCTTCCTTTCTAGCCAAACTCAAAATGTTTTACAATATTCTGCTGGACTCTTTACCGATTGATCTGGCCAAAAGCCCCCAAAAATATCTGGGCCACTCCTCAACATTAGACTACCTTGAAATTTTCTCTAATAATTAATGCTCATCTCATACTTAAATCTCAGTTTCAGGCAAAGTCTCTAAAGAAGAGTAAAATTCAGACAAATTTTCTGCCAAAGCATAGCACACATGGTCTGGAGTCCCATAGCTAAAGCAGTCCTTCTTCCCAGCAGAAACCTCATGAGCCTGGTCTTTACCTGCTGCATGTGTAGCAGCATTCTTTCTGCTGATCTCTGACCAGGATCTTGCAGCAAGCACAACTTTAAGCATTCCAGAGCTGCTTCTTTAACTGGCATCTCCAAACCTTTCCAAAATCTTCCCACAAGCCAATTCCAAAGGCTCCTAAACCACATGGCTAGGTATAGTCACAGCAATGACCCAGATCTTGATACCAAAATTTGTATCAGTCACTGCTTACTAGAGAAACAGATTTAAAATGATATATACAAATATATAAGAATTTACAAGATGAAAAAAAAAGAATTTACAAGATGGCTTACAATGGCCACCCACACAGTCAGGTATGAAAGAGGGCAACAGATCCATCTGCACACTGGACAGCTGGAGGATCCAGTCAAAAGCTGAAACTCATTGCATCTTACGCAAGTCCATATCAGGAGGTCTACGGATCAGCAATGGAAGGCTAAAGAGTCTGTGCTGCAAATCAGAACACGATGTCCAATGCGGAGGTGAGGACTGGAGCTCCACTAAAGAAACAGAGTCTTCTTTCCTCATTTCCCACTTAGCTGGCAAACTCATTGGTTGCCGTCACTCCCACCCAGTAAATCCCAGTAAAGTTTCAATTAATTTCCTCAGCCACATCCATAACTATCCTGACCCAATTTAGTTGGTAACTTCTTACTCAAGTTGTCCCAATCAGTTAACTATCACAGTTGCGATAGACTAAGAGATTAAGTATTCAGCTGCTAGCCCCCTCAACAGGTGAGGAAGCCCCTGATCTTCAGGACCATGTGATGCATTTCCCCTAACACTAAGGCAAGGTGTAATTTCTTTCTGAAAAAACTTTGAAGACCATTCAGATCTTTTAAAAACCTCCATGGATCCACCTCATATAACATTAGATATCTACAAATACCCCTGCATCCAACAATAAAAATGGCTTTTCACTATAAATTTTAACTGGTTTTTAGAATTTTTAAAATTATTTGTCTGCAGTTCATTTAATTTGTGATTGGCTATGGTTTTTGTTTTGTGAGTCTGCTTGCTTATTTGTTTGTTTGAGACAGGATCTCACTATGTAATTCAAGCTGAAAATGAATTTACTATGTAGTCTAAGCTGGTCTCGAACTCAGGGCAACCCTTCTGTATCAGCCTCCCAAGTGCTGGGATTACAGGTGTGCACCACAACTGATCCAGCCTGAGTATCTTGTGAGACACTGTCTCAAAATATATATATACATTTTAATAGATACTAAATTATTAGTGTTTATTTTTTAGTTCTCTTGTGATATATCAATAAACATTTTCATCTCAAATATTTTTGTAGGCCTTAAGAAGTCCAAGAATCCTTTAGTGTGGCTAACAATCCTGGGGAAATGACTGTGAGTCTAGAACAACAAATCCAGGATTCTCATGGTGACATGGAAGGCATGTGACCTAGTGGACAAAGTGCACACTCTTTCTAATCAGATTAGATTAGATTAGATTAGCCCCCTGGTCTACTCCATAAGAACTACAACATGGTATACTGCTGAGGAATACCATGTGCATGCTAAGGAGATTAGATGTGAGTGTCAAAGCAAAAGCTGCAAAGTTTCATACTGACCATAGGATATTACAAAATATTTATGAATTTATGTTTAGGTCTCATGGATACTATTTCCAGGTCAGCATTACTTATGTGATCTTGGGCAAACAACTCACTGTTTACTTGTCAGTGTTTCCCATTGGCACACAATCTGCAAAGGGCAGGGATCATACTGTTCACCTGGAATCAGTGCCTCAAAACAGACCTTTAATATTATCTCAGTGATTGACTTCATTTTCCTCTGCAGGCCTAAATCTTCTCATCTATAAATGAGAGTGGCTTTAAAAAGGACTGAAAGTCCGCAGCGCTCACTAAACATATTGGAGCCTTTTCCAGGTTCAGCAGCAGAAGTCCAGTGACAATGGAAGCATAAATACAAACTATTAACAATTTAGACGCTGGTACAGGCACCAGTTGGAAAAATCGATGACAGAGTGAGCTGTGCCCTATGTCACCGAGAGGCTTTAACCTCTCAGGCTAGCTGTGTAGGCCATGTCACCAGAGGTAAGGTAAACAAACACTACCAGCAGGTCTGCCTCCTAAAACGCCTCTCACTTTTCAGGGTTTGAGCACTCAGGTCTCAGTCTGACAAGGCAAAGGGGTAACTCTGCTTTTATTGCAGAATATGCATGTTTATTTAGTACTAATGCACCTAAGGTTTCGTCAGCCTTATGTAAACTGCGATCGCCAATACATTCAGATACCTCCTCCCAGCAGGCAAACTGCGGGACCAATACTGTCTGACATCTGCCCCCAACCTCCTCATGTGTCCAAGGGGATATTCCTTTAAAGCCACATAAAGTGAGTTTGTCAGGAAGCTGGGAAGAGCCAGACTGGGGGACAGAAATGAACCTGCCCAGGTCACGAGTGCTGAACCTCTCTCACCACACATAACTCACTTGACTTTCATCAGCAGAATTGGTCCCACTGCTCTTCAGGCCCAATTTACTGACTCAAACTGATCCTGTAGTCATGACAAGAATTTATATTCTTCTTCCCAAATGCAAGCGCTACTCAGCTTTCACACACCAAGGAGTTCACTTCACAGTTTATGATGAGGAAACTGTGGTCACTGTTTTCAAACACAGCCTCACCATCCTCCACAGGGAACGGTGATCACATTTCCCCTCCAGTTCTCTTCCTCCTTCTTCCATTCAACCTGCCACTTTCTTGTGGTTACTTCCTTTGGTTTTGGAATGCAAGATGAAAAGAATCAGAAACTTTGTTTTCAAAGGGCACCCAAGCCAGGCACGGTGGCACATGCCTGTAATGCCAGCACTTGGGAGGCTGAGGCAAGAGGATCACTGTGAGTTTGAGGCCAGCCTGGGCCACATTAGTGAGTTCAAGTCCAGCCCACACTACATATTATCTCTAAATAAATAAATAGAAAGGAAGAAAAAAAGAAGGAGGCATCCAAAACTTTCCTAAGAAAAGAAATTAGTTAGGGAAGACTAGAGCAGGGCTGAAAGTGTGTTTTCTTTTCCCTTCCTTGTCAAGCCTTGCACAGTGTCTATAATGTGGACACAAGCAGGACCATTTCACATGCCCTTCAGCAAATGATTTCCCAGAAATCTGGAGATTTTTATCACGATTTAGAAATTCTCCCTAAATTAGAAATTCATCCACATGCAGGCTATCCCCAAAAAGAGCTTTTTTCATTTGTTTGTTTTACATTTTATCTTATGCATTTCTTTTCCTAGTCACGTACTGGGGCCCAAAGGACCTAACGCAGGAAAAATAGCTTCATTCAAATGGATGAATGGCTAGAAACAGTGTAATATAAACAAACAGAACAGATTATCCAGGAGAAAGGATCTTACAAGAGTCTGGCTGTCTCCGTCCAACTGGAGATGGGTTCAAATGTTGGCTCCTTGGAAACAGGTTCCAGCTGTGTGCACCTAGAGGCTCTCCTGGTTCTGATAGTGTACTACTCATATAAAGGGGTGGGGGAGCAGATACATGGCTCACCAGACTCGGCAGAAGCGTGCAGACCAAGGGCATTCACCTTTCTCCCGGGCCAGACTGGGTCAAATATTAACCACCTGAAATAATTAGCAATTTGTTCAGGAGTCAAACTTTTATAAACATGGTCTGTTCCCCAAAAGTTGTCTGTTTTGATTCTTTTTCTCATTAATGGATTGAGTTTTCATAATTCATGTGCAGTGGTCTGGATCCGTAATATACTGTTTCTGATGTTATTGGCCACTCCAAGAGCTGATTTGGAAGAAGTCTACAGAATAAAACAGGATCTTCCAGTAGGATGCTTTTAGATTATACTTTCTATTTGTCCATGATACAGTTTTGTTTCATGAAAGTATGCGAAGCAACTTACTCCATGGATCTCACAGAACCATGAAATTATCTCTATAGAAGGTTTGGGGACATGTATTATCACATGCTACCTGCCTCAACCTCCCAGCTGCTATGTCCAGAAATATCCTCACTAGGATACCAACCAGGATTCTCCTTCCTTTCATCCTTACCTGTCCACAGCAAACTATCCCTGAGTACCCAATCTTTCATTTCCTAAGCACAGTTGCAAAAATAATTATCTCCAACATCACTGTAACATTGCTGTTGCAGCCCCTCTAAAACTAAATTCTTTGCCTCACTAAAACAGTGTGCTAAAGCTATCAGATCACTTTACATACCTTATAGTCATCTTAGGAAAATAACAAGCGTTTCCCAACCTTGGCACTCAACTCCACTGATGCTAGATCTACAACTGTGTGATTCTTTTCCAAATCTGCAGGCCTCTTTTGTGGTCCACCCACCTCCAAGGATTCAATCTGCTCACATCTGAGGTGACAGCTAGGACAGCTGCATTCCAGTAAACAACTGCATGTGAAATCATCATGACAATTATAATAATCCATGTTAGCATTTATCGTATGAAGCTGTCATATGTATGAGTCATTGTCAAGACTGTGTAAAGTAGATGGCACTTAAGTCTGGTTTGCTTAAACACCAACCAGCAGGTCAAACACCAAATAAACCCTGGAGTCTGACATCAAGGCCTCTGATTACAGGAAGAAAATCTGGTCATCTTTCCAGACTCCGCTCAGCAACACCTTCTCTGAGCCCTGAATAATCCTCTTCAGTCCCTCCAGTCCTCAGGGGCACTGCCCACTAATTTCTCTGTGGATTGACAGCATTCAATATTCACAGCTAGAGAGGCAACCCCGAAACAGAGATCCCAAACTGATGGCTTATAGTGCGCTGACCTGACTTTCACTCACCCAGCTCTATGCGAAAAGCTGGTGAGTTGGCCTGAAGGAAGCCTGTTTGTGTAAGCAATTACTAGGGATGCTTGAACGGTGATCAGAGGACAGGGAATTCAGACGGAGCTTTCCAAACCCGCTATGCTCCACTGCTGTTACCTAGTAGCTGTGCCTGTACCTAACTAGGGTTACACTCAGCAGGCTCCTCAGGGAGCTCAGCTCCATCAGTTTCCCTGGGAGCTCAGCTGCACAGTTAACCCACAGCTGTCCAGCTTCAGCCCGGGAGGAGGTTCTCTCTCTCAATGTCACTAGCCTGGCTTTAACAGCAGTTCTTGGTACTACGAAGAGCCGGAAGACATAAGGAACAAAAGTGGGTAGACTGAAGAATCGAGAAGAGGTTAAAGGTCCCCAGCTTCTCAACTTTGTTGGGGCACAACCCTGTCCGAGTGTCGGGCACCACAAATTATAAATTGAGTGTGGAGCACGTCTGAGGCTATCCTTGTCCTGGCCCTTTGAGCCAGATTGGAAGGAGGAAATTCCCAGCTGTCTTCTGGCTGCAGCTGAAAGCCCCAGGGCTAGGGTGCTGTAGGCTCACATGGGAAGTTCTTTATTTCCCATCGTCTTGTCCTTGCAAGAGTGCTTTGTTCCTCTTACTAAACATTCCTGTTCCAGGAAACACTCCCTGCCCTGCACCCACATCTCTGACACAGCTGTAATCAATAAATACCAAAGTCCCAGCTGCCCCTGGCCTTTTGTTCCTTGTAAACATCTGGCCATCCCATGTCCCTGCTGTCCCTTGCAGGGTCTCCAATACCCTATCTTTGCATTTGTCCTCTTCCCTTCTCCCTGTGCCCTCACCCAAATCATGAGCTAAAAGAAAGAAGGTCGGGGTAGTGTGAAGAGGACTAAGCAAAGCTTCACAAGCACCTTCCCTCCATGCTTGGTACTTCAGGGGAGATGGAGTCTCTGACAAGGAAGAGGCAGACTTGCCCCTGCCAGGACTACCAAATGTCAAAGTTTGTTCTGCCAAGTGCTAAAGCTCCAAGTGTTTCAGGAGCAAAGAGAAATAACAGGACATGGGACCTACATGACAGGGGCTCTACTGGCATCCAACACAGTAGCCAACATTCTGTTTTCTTTTGTGGGAAAAAATATCATTTGCAAGTGGTGCTTATTTTAAATGAACAACATAGCACTTTTTAAAGAACCACCAAAGAACTGAGCTCTTAAAAGTTACCAGCCACTTGTTTGTAGGGAGGACGGCTGCCAGGCTCATTGCAACATCTCTAAGGTCTTATCAGTCACTGATTGACTCAGCAGTCCCACAGCAAGCAGCAGCCGACAACCACAGCCTGAGAGGACTTCAACACCATGGCCGAACTCTGCTGGCTCACATAGGTCTCCACTCTAACCCAGGACACATGCACTCACACCCAGCATCGTGGGCTGAAGTGTTGCTCAAGCACAAACTGCTTGGCTCGGCCTGAGCAGCTTCTGATTTTAGCCCGGACTCCCAGGGAACATGGACAGATGCCTTCCTCCAACTCTAGCCCTGCCTCTGACACTGGGGAGAGTTCATAACCTGCTCACAGCCTTGACAAGCCAGAAAGGCATTTTTGCTTTTCTCTTGAACTTGACACAAGAAGTTACATTGAAACAGAAAATGGGAATTTTAAATGCAATACTTCATTAACAAGCACCTAAATTCTTACTCATGTGTTTCCAAATCCGACCAGGAATTAGTCTACTAATGAACATTATATCTTTGTCAGTAATTTAATACAAGTGAAGCAACTGACAATTGAGAAAAGCTACATATTTTTTAAGTTCTGACAACTTGAAAATCATTCCTATTTCCTGGACTCTCTTGCTTTGTCTCTCCCAGAAGCTAATCGCCCTTACACATAGAAAGCAGGACTCTCTACTTCCAGGAAATCAGATGGTAGCACACTTTCCCCCTTTATATAAAGCATATGTGTCTGATGCCATCTTTAGGGCTGATTGTAAAACAGGTGATAGAGGGAATGAAGTTCACGCTCTCCAAATTTCCTTTGTAAGGCTAACACTTTGGTGTCTACAAACATGACACTGATGCTAATTCACAAAAGCAATGATTAAGGGAGGTAAACCCACATGTAAGGAGCACCTGGCCTCCAGGAAATGGGCACTGTTGACTGAGGGGAGAATGGGGACGAACTCTTATATCTCCGAAGACAACCATTAACAACCCCTTGTCAAGGAATGTTGGGTTTTGTATCCACCCCCTTTCCCACTGTTTACAGAGTCTTTGCTCAAATACAGATTATATGAAAAGTCCTGAAGGCTTCACCAGCTGACACTGGTTTGCTATTTACTCATACTTTTAATTTGAGTCATAGGCAAATGCGCTCAACAATAACTTGACAGCCATTTTACTGCTTATAACCTGACATCCACTCTCTGACCATGGCCAGGCACACTGTTTGGTTCCTGGGTGGCCCCATCCTCTCTGCCAAGCTGTAGTTCATCTCCACATTACTGGAGTACTTTCTTTCATCCAAGAGTCGCCCTGCTAACACTACAGCAGTCCGTGCATTGTAGAATAAGACAAATAAGACAGAGAGCGATCTCTGAGACCATCTGCCAGTCCTTCCCCAATTTTACAGATGAGGAACCTGAGGACCTGAGAAAGAGACACTAATTGCCCATGGAATAGAAAGTATCCTTCTGCACTGACTAGGTAGTAGCTTTGCAGTTAAGTAATTATTCTTAGTCTGTTAGAGGCTGCCTATGTAAATTTGGTAATATGCTAATTAGATAAATGTGAAATCATACTGATTTCACTTGTGATTTGGCACTAATATTCTTACTGTTACAAAGGGAGGGTCATGGAGATATACAAGCTCCAGGATAGTACTGATTTTTTTTTATAACAGTTCTTCCTAAATAAAAATGTTGTTTTACCCACGTGCTGTTATCATTTTATGTGCTCTGTCAGAGCAAGAAAGCAGTGTTTCAGCAAGAAAGCTTGGAGCAGAGGCTGTTGGGAACAGTTTCCAAGAATTTCACAACACTGGCTCAGGGTGGGTCAAGGGTGGGGAGGTGGAGAAAATAAAGGAAAACATCAGTCCCCAAAAGTTAGTTCAGCCTGCAAAAACTGGATGAGGCCTGCTTCACAAATCTGATGATCAACCTGTGTACGCAGCAAAGTTTCCTTAGTTTGGAGCAAGCACAGGTCCCCCGTGGCTCCCTTCCATTCGCAGCTGTGGTCCCATTCGGAGCCTGGGTCCTAGACAGTGAGAAATTCGCGCGGGTATCTCTGTCTAGCTGCGGAAAACTGAAACCACGGAGGGAACTCAGAATCGCCAACTCCTGCACAAACCTGCCTTTTCTCTGCTTCTTCACGCCTCAGCTCCGCGGATGCGCCCGGAAACGCCCCGCGGACGAGGCCCACTCTGCCCTGGTTTCCCCGCCCACATGCTCCGGACAAGGTTGCAGGGCGGCAAGGGGGATGCAGGGCCAACATCTTGTCCTCCGAACCAGGTGTCAGAAATGGGGAGTAGGCTAAAAGAGAAGATTTTATTTCTCACCCTTCTTCCCAGTAGGACGATGGGAGCTGGTGAAAACCGCAGAGGTGTCCTTTTGAATCTCGCTTTGCACGTGCTGGGGTGGTGGGCGCCTGTCCCTGAGTGCTCGCCAGACTTGACCGGCTGCACTGCGAGAGCTGAGGAGGATCCGAATTCCCGACTCCGGGAAGTAGGGACCTCACCCTGTTTTTCCTGCTTGGACCCGCCTCCCTGCCCCGGGACAGCCGGCGGGAACCGCCCTTGCGGAGGAAGCCGGGGGCCGCGGGCACGGCCTCCAGGGGACCCGGCGCGGGGTTGGAGGGGGAAGCGGGAACACACACACACACACACACACACACACACACACACACACACACGCGAGGCACCCCGGGGCAAAGCGACCAGGAACCCAGAGAGTTTCCTGCCGATGTGGCCACCAGGACCTTCTGCCTCACAGTCATTCAGTGCTGGTTTCTTTGATAGCACAGTCCGAATGCCAGAAAGTTTGCCCCAAATTTTTCGTCTCCTAGTAGTTGCTAAAGAAGAGGAAGGGGAAAGTAGCAAAGTTTAAAAGGGAGACAAACACCGGGCTCGTCCGGGATTTGAACCCGGGACCTCTCGCACCCAAAGCGAGAATCATACCCCTAGACCAACGAGCCGAGATATACAGAGCGTTGGTACTATTGCTTGTAAACTGTATTACAAGATTTCACAGCCGCAGTAGTCCGCCAGGCTGCTTCACAGTTTTGTTATTTCCTCCTCGGGACACACAGTTTTGGCCTTACTTAGTTCTTCCGTATTTGCTGCTCATTTTCATCGCTCCATATCTTGCACACATTGCACACTTCCAACGGATAGGGTGACGGGAGGCAACTTTTCAGACCGCAGGGCACTCATCCGAGTTCCACTAAACTGGGTCCCAAAAGTCTAGTAGAGAGCCAGGTCCCCTGAGGGCGGGAGCAGATGTACGGTGGGGCATGGAGTCCTGAGCCCAGGACTGACGCGGAACACCTGTCCACCTCTACTTGCCACCCTCCCCACGCATCAAATCCTAGAGGGGAATCTGAGGGACATCAGATTCGGGGAGCAGGGGTGGGCAGCGAATGAGCACGCACGTTGGGGGTGACTTCTTCCAGCGTCTGTTCGTATTTTGTACGCCACTGGCAGTTTCTCTGAACAGGAATCGCTCCTCCACCTCTCCAACTTTTGATTATATTACTTGCTCCATCTGGAATTTGTTTTCCCAATGTTATTCCAATTCACATTAAATACTTCCCCTCCTTCCTGTCCTGCCTTAGCTCAAACTACATAAACGAAATCTCTTAGTTTAAAATGTCTCTTCATCCGTAGATGGGTGGGTAGCACACGGGGAGGGAGCTCGCATAGGGAGTGTATCCTACAACTCAGAGTCCTGCAGGAAGCAAGGAAGGTATCTGTACACATCACAGATTCTGTGCCGTCTATTAGGCTTGGTCTCTGAATTTTGGCTTCAGGTAGCACTCTAGGTGGGAACTGCAAGTAACCGAAAGAAAACACATCTTTGGGCGTTAGCTCTAAGCCTGCGAGGGCGAAACTTTTGTAGATCGAGTGTTCAAACTGCAATCCCAAACCCATTTATTGATCTCAAAGTGCTAATACTGCATTTTAACCTGAATTTTGATGTTAGTTTAGAAGAGCAACTCATAGCACTAACATCTTTTGTCTTAAAAGCAAAACACAATAACAGAGCTTTCAATGATACAAATGGCTTTTATCAAAAAAAAAAAGCTTGCATTTGGAGTGCTTTTGCACAATTAATGTCATCTTTGTTGTTGTAGGCACACAGATAATTTGTCAAACTTTAGCTTTTTGGTAGTTTGAAAGCAACATAAGCAACACTCAGGTCGTCTGTTAGTCCATTTCTTGTATAGATTTGCTATCATTTGAAGCTGAAAACAGCTACTGGCAACCATAAAGTGATACAAACAAGGTAAGAAAAGCAATCCCAAGTGCTTTCATTGGCTTAAAATTATTTGACAGAGAATTGCAGTTTAGAATTAATTTTCAGAGCTACCAACTGTGCTGTCCTTTGTCATCCCTTCACATTCCATCTTCTCAAGTTTTGAACTCAGATATTAGATTTATTTTTCTAGGTAGAGCTTTCTTGAAATTCCAATAGCTCCAGCTCTAGATTTCCAAAATCTAATCGTGTAAGCAGAGGAGATCAAGTTCTTCAAATTTAGCTTTACCTGGAGAAGTGAGAAGACACAAGGTTGTCCCCACCTCACAGAGCTGTAAAAATCTGTTACTAATACTCTTTCTTGCAGCTGCTAAAATGCCAGAAAATTCCTTTTGAATTTCCTGATGCCTTGTAGGATTTTCTACAAATGTTGAAGAATTTTCTAAATGTATTTTTAGATTTGGGTAACATTTCAACTGCTACTTTTAAGGTCTTTTTCAAAAACTTGCTGTTTTCTCTCAAATGTTTTGACATCACAAAAAGTCCCTTTTGCTATTTTTTCTATATCACGTGGTTTTTTTGTTCAGTACACTGAAGTGTAGTGAGAAATCTATAGCTATTACACTTCAGGGTATCTTCCCAGAAGAATTTAAAACACCACACCACAGTGATATATGTGCACCCATGTTCATAGCAGCACAATTTGTAATAAGTAAATATTGGAAACAACCCAAATACCCATCAATTGAGGAATGGATAAAAAGATATGGTTTTTTCATATAATGAGATATTACTAGGCTATAATGAAGGCTAATCTTGAGCTTTCTGTAGGTAAATGGATGCAACTCAAGATCATAATCATAAGTGAAATAAATGAGACCCACATGTGTAAACATTATATTCCCTCACTGTGTGAGAAACTTGATGAGTAAATAAGATCCAGAATGTACAAAAGATATTGGAATAGGAAAAAATTGTCCAAAAAAATTTTGATGGGAGAAAGAGGAAAGGAAAGAATGGAAAAGGAAAAAATACACACACACACACACACACACACACACACACACACACACACACAGCAAATAAAGTGACCAATACAAATCTATCCCTATATCATAAACCATAAATAGCTAACACTATTAATTAACTCTAAAGAATTGGATAGTCCTTGACTCAACAGTCTATGGCAGTGATTCTCAGCTGTTGTTCCTCCTAAATTTGCTGACCACCAGCACAAAGGGACAATATTCCACTGACAACCAGCTTTTGGCCTACTCTGAAAAAGGCAACTGAGTGCATATATATATATATATATATATATATATATATATATATGCTAAATTCTTCACAAACAACTAAATACGATGCTGCAGGTTTAAATATGACAGGGAGTACAACATTAAAAGAACCTCAGTCTTTTAATTAGAACATCTTTTTGCTAAACCTTAGTTTTTGTTTTTTTGCATAGGAGTTTTTTTTTGGTTTTGTTTTTTGACAAGGTCTCCTCGTGTAGTCCAGGCTGGCACTGAACTCACTTTGTAGCCCAAGCTGTCCTCCAACTCAGTAGAATCCTCTTATCCCAGTCTCCCAAGTACTAGGGTTACAGCGTGCACCACCATGCCCAGCCTTAAATTTTAGATATTAAACTTCAAATTTTCCTAACAAAAGTCAAAGCAAAAATACTGTTAATAAAAACGAATAAATACTTTATACTAAAACTCACAGCCAGTTTAAACAAATTTATCTCCCTGGTAGCAGTTACTGTATCCCCAAGTGGTGCCCTTGTCAGATCATCTGATGCTCGTTCCACTTGGTTTCAGCAACATTCCTCTAGCTAGGGTTGTTGCCCAGCAGCATCAATTGTCTAAGGAGACAAACTGTGTATTACTTCTGGTTAAACCCTTAGGGGTCTCTAACCAGGTGTCCAGTAAATTTCACTCCATGTTTGGTTATAATACTGCCCAGAGACAAAGACAGCTGGGTTGAATGGCCTCAAAGTTCAAAACAGCAGCTTTTCCTTCGAGCCGGAATCGAACCAGCGACCTAAGGATTACTAGGCGTACATAGCTCTACAGTCCTCCGCTCTACCAGCTGAGCTATCGAAGGGAGCACGTATAGTCCCTTCCAGAGCTCCCTTTTAAAACGAGAAGAGTCATCGGCACGGGGAAGGCGTAGTGTGCGCGCGCGCGTCCGGCTGTGGGCCCGCTCTTGCGGAGGCTGGCGCTCCCGTCTCGCGGAGGACTTTCCACCCTCGCCGGGGACGCCCAGCGCCGGCTGCGTCTCGCGGCCGTGCGGGACCTGCACGCGGCGGAGGCCGGGGCGTAGCGGAAGCCGAGAGCCCCGCGGACGCGAGGAGCCCACAGCGCCCCTTCCGGCGGGCGCGCCCACGGGGAGCGGTGAGCCCGGCGCCTCGGCGGCCGTTCACTTTCGAAGAAATCATGTTTAGTGTTTTCAAAAAGGAAGCGGCAATTTCTATGAGCCCAGGTCAAATTTGATTACCCACGTCTCGTCCCTCGCGGGCCCCAGACGCCTCCGAAAGGAACTCGCGCGTCCCCAACCCGAGCCCGAAGCCGCCGCCGGCCAGGCCCCACCCCGGGGGGCCTCCTTCGCGATCCCAAATTCGTCCGGAACCCAGAAAAGAGGCTCGGCTTCCTCTTCCCTCGCCAGGCCGACTTCCTGCCCGGCTCCAGCCCCGAGGCCGTGGGCCCACGTAGCTAGGGCTGTGCGCCGAGGCCGGCGGCAGCTCCGCAGCGCGGGGCGGAGGCGGCCATGTTCCTGGACTCGGCGCTGCGCGGTCCTGCATGAACAGAAAGGGAGTCCGGTCCACTTTGCAGGGTTATTACCGAGCACGAAGAGGCTAGAATCGACTGGTTTCTCAGGATTTTCTCGTGGCAGTGAGGAAGGGGTATAAAAAATTACCCATACCAGTAAATAAACCACTCAGGCCCCAGCGAGATTTGAACTCGCGACCCCTGGTTTACAAGACCAGTGCTCTAACCCCTGAGCTATAGGGCCTTACAGAGGCAAGTGTTGTTTCTTTCTTACAAAAGGAGTTTCCCTGGTTCTCTATTAGGCGCCGACAGATACAACCAAGACTGTACTTTCATTTTACTTTAAATCTCATTCACTGAAATTTATTTTGCAGGCTCTCATTTTACTGGGAATGAGACGCTGCGGAGGCCAGTGACAAACCATTCTGGACCCTTAAACTGGGAGAACGACCCCAAATTGACACAGATTAAGAAAATGAAAGACCCCACCCCATTTCGGGTTGCCAC